GATTGCCCGAGAGTTGAGCAATTATTTGGCGAAGCCGGATGTGCGTGTTTTGCGTCGTATTTGTGCCAATCACGCGCGGTCAAACACCGGGCCCCGGGTACCGGCTTTTTCCATACTCTTATTTCTCCTCATTATTATTGCTTTTTTTCCCAAGCCCATTTCCATTCGGCTTCCTCAAATGTATTTCTATTTCGCTTACGTCACTCGATCGTTTTTGAGCACAAGGTATCGTCGTATTTGCAATTGTTATTTGACTGCCAAGCATGACCGAATTCACGACATCCTGGGCCCCATCCTGATTTTACGCGATAATTCAAAACGAAGAAAAACGGCGTAGGACAAAACACTTGGAAATTATCAACGAAACTCGTACTTGATCCAAAGTAGGGTTTAAATATGTTGTCTACGAACTTCACAATAAAAAATATTCGAGCTTCGAATGGTGTCTTTCACAGGAATAATGGCCAGTAGCTGTCTTACTGTAAATTTAAAAATACAGGGATATATTTTTACTGCTGTAAAGTTAAAGATATTCTCTTTTATTCCGTCTACCGCAGGAAAGTCAGCATATTTATCAAGCATTACTGTATCTTTATTACGAGTCCACATAATCCTTCAAGTTTATGAATCTCTTGAGAATTGGCTTCGTCTGAATTTTGAGCAGAGTTTTTCGGGCAAAACTGTGGCTGCCAAAAACAGTTTTCTTTGCGACATTCTAAAAATGTGAACATGTTCTGAACATCACAAACGAAATAACAGTAGAGCACACGTATTTATTCGAATACTATTTAATTACAGAGACTTCCATCCTTCACTTAGACTTTTTAGAAGATATTTACAAAGAAAATAAAGGATATTCCTCTTGAGCCCAGGCAGAATTTTTACTCGATGACGACACCAACCCACCATTTTCATCCCGAATCGCCAGAAAAAAATGTGTGCTTGGCACATTTTTAAAGTAATTACGGCCGCAATCCGCAATTTTTTCAACCGAGAGGCTATTTTCAAATGTTGAAAATCCGCATGCGAACGATTCAGCCCATTCTTTTTTTCTTTGCTTTGATTTTTATTCGCACACAAATCACCACATTTATTCAAACTCCAAATTGTCGAACTATCCTCATGAGTGACGAAAAATAAAATGAAGCCGTCTTTCATAAATTCTTTTATATCCGCAATTATTATCCAGAAAAGCATCGGCTTCCAAACCAATGAATGTAAGGCAATACTCCAGATTAATGTCTGTCCCGCGAAAATAAATGCGGTGTAACGCAGAATTTCGAAATGTTATCGGGTTGTGCGAATATTTATTTAATTCGAATATTTATTCATTTAAATGCCCACACCGTCAGATGGGCCGCCAAGAATGAGTGTGGTGAGTGCGAGGGAGGACCCCAACATGCCACGAAGCATGATCCAGAAGAACCCACGTCGGTCGTCCAACCACGAATGTGCAGATGAGTGGTGCTGCATAGATCCGTTCCCATCGATCGCGGAGGACTCAGGACTGACAAAGAGTAAGTAAAGTACAGTACATAAACTCACTAAAAGTAATTCCATTTTCTAACAATCTGTAAGTCCTCGGATATGCGCACGAAAAAAAATTCAGCCGTGAATGTGTCAGTGTTGAGTCGTGAATTCAGTTTTTGGACCCGAACAAGAGGCGCGTTCAGATTCCAAGGAAAAAAGTAGCATGACATTTAAAAAAGAATCAGCACAAAATAGTATAGTGTAGAATTTCCTTAAACTTCAGTTGAGGTCTGTATGTAACTGAGTTTGCTATACTCAAATATTTATATGATTTAATTTGTATTTTTTCCTATATGGAAATTTCCACCAGTGCGTAACAGTGATAACCATGAATAAGGGGTCCAAATTATAAATTGTTCGGCGATTTAAAGTCAGCGTGTTTTTGTCAAATTCCAAAATGTAGTTTCAACTTACATTCTCACTTCCCCTCAACTTTTCTTGACGAGAACCACAACTTTTCTCTGCTGCACTTGAACTATGCCTCTCTCAGAGAAAAAATTTTAAAATTGTTTATTTTTCATTTTCTAATGCATAAAGGTCGATTTTCCGAAACTTAAAAAAAATAATGTTTACTTAAAACCTGACCTTTGAAATCTTTTCTTCTGTCTTTCGACATTGCAGAGAAGTCTAATTCAAACAGAAACGAGTGAAAAGCCAGTTTTTACAGGTTTTCTCAATCCCTGAGACTTGCCATGCGACGCACGTTTAACATTATCAGGACCAGAACAATGAAATCGAGCAAAATAGTACCCATTACCACGGGAAGCCTGGCATAATTAATTTTTTGCTCAATGGTTTCTTTTTGCTTTTGTTTTGTTCGATTTTTGGCTTAAAATAGTTAACCATGTTCAAAAAATGGACTGCATCGAACTCAACCGAGTGTCAAAAATGTGTGATGATGCGGAAAATTTAGTCGCTGGAAAATTTTTCAAGTTCATGAAAGCTTTCTTGATATACAGTATTCTTGATTTTTTTGAGCGTTTCTTGTCTTGCAGTTATTTGGGTGTTTCTCGTCTTAACCACATTTAATGCGCAGAATTTTAAAGTTTTTAGTAATCAACGTTGAAAGTTATTAGTGGAATTTTCGAGGGATTTTGACTGGATTATCCATGAAGCAATACTTCGCACGACTCTGTTGAAGAAGCTCTTTTTGTGGGCAAATCACGAATTCGACATATACAGCTGTACATTTTTGGGTTATTCGTAGACTTCTTGGATAATGAATTATCTCAAGTTCTTTAGCTGAGGCAAGAATAAAACGACGTCTCAATACCAAAAAAAAATATCGCTCACAATAACTGAGGAAGCTTTGCATTGAAGAGAGTATCCAATCTTACAGACCCAAATGTCTCTGAGCAAAACGTCGCTGTAGCAGCCATTTTGCAAAGTGAGGATCAACAAACATCACAGAATACCTGGTTACTTGATCCAAATTCTCCAGCACTCATGGACTCCCTGGAACAACCGAAGAAACAGAAGCAGCCATTCGACAACGCCTCTTTCGTCCCCGACGACTTGGACGATATCAAGTCAGTTCTCANATCGCGACAGGTCACCCAAAACCGCGGGGTTCTACGACTTTGGATACTCGTCCTCGTCGGCGGCGACGGTGGCGGCGGCGGCGTCGACGCCAAGTGGCGGCGAGCAGGATTCGCTGACGTCGGGTCAACCCGGCGACGAGGAATGCGCAGTGATTCAAGCCGGGTGCGAGGGTCGGTACAGGAGACTGTCGTTCGACAGTCGACCCGTGACCCCGATCGGTGTCACGAGCAAAGAGCGGCGGGCCTCGGTTTCCATCGACGTTCCCGTCGCTGTTCTGCGGATGACCCCGATCAATGACCCCCGCTGAAATGCGATTAGATGCGGGAACCAGGAAAAAAAAGCAACCCGGGATTCATTTTTTATTTAAATTTTCCCTAATAACGTGCAGAAGTCAAGGAATCTGTATAAAAGTGAAAAAAATATTTTCTGGTTACCGGATTCACACGAACAGCTAGGACACCATCGAATTCATCAAGCACTTCTATTCGAGTGACGTTGATTTTTTCAAATATTGTCTGCGCGAAAAACACTTTTCTATCTATCTTGGAAAACAGCGCACAAAATTTCGCTGATTTTACTCGTGATACGATACCAATCGCCTGAAACTTTTTATTATAATTCCTATACGCCTAAGAACTCAATACGATTAAAAAAAAGTGCTCCGTTCAATTCTAAGCTAGATTTTACAGTTTTAAAATAAAAATAAAAAATCAAGCCCTCCACCTTGGAACCTGAGACGTCATCGACTGGAGAAAGCAGTATTCAAAATGTAAATGAACTGTTCAAGAAAAAAATAATTATTATTTTAACAAGTAACACTTCTGGATGTTTTTAGGTACCTGCCCTCTTCATTTCAAAACTGACGAAAATGCGTGTATCGAACGTGTATGCACATGGAATTCGCTGGTTTTTACAAAATTCGGACACGATATCTGCAATACTATTTATTTTTACACACGCGGATTATTCAAAATTTAAAACACTGTGAATGCCAAGTGTGGTGAAATCTTCGAATGCGTGATTGGATCTATATCCGGTGCTTTAATTGAATGCCAATTTATTTTTACACCGATTTTTTTGCACGATTGCGAGGGTTACTTTTCGGATGTTCAGAAAGATGATATTACAAGAATGGGAACTGAATTTGCAGGTGTCCCCCACGAGAACTAATCACTATACACGACGGACGAAAATTGTTCGAGTGGTTTTTTGTTTCGTCAGTGGAAAGATTCATCAATATTCCATGCTTGCGTTTCAACAACCTCTTGAAATCTTGATCGAGAATAGACGTCTTGTGTTTTTTTTTTTTCAAAAGCATTTTCATTTCCGGCGCCCTGCTGGCGGTGACCATCTACGTTTTTTAATGACTAAATATTTGCCAGCGTATTTTACTGACTTTGCTTTACTAAAACTTCAAAAGATGCCCATAAATTTGAAAAGGAATGAATACGAAGCTGCCTTTTATACTGTTCAATGAATGCAATGTTTTCTAATGTGCGTGTATCCAGACTGAATCTTCCTCATCGATTTTCGAAAACGCCGGGTCTTATTTGGAATAATACAGTAAATAAAGTACAGCAGAAGCATTCTACGGAAAAGGTTTCGTCTCGAGATACGATGGAAAAACAATTTGCTCTGCTGTCATTAAAAAGTCAATTTTGAATCTCCTCGGACATATCCTTCGAGTTGAAGGCTTTTGGCTCTTGCAAGACACTTTTAAAAATATATTTCCAAAATTTTCCGGATTCAGAACTCCGTAATAAAATAAGATTGGAAAGTCATTCAAATTTTGTCATACTCTGCAAAAAATTTTCATTTCGCCGATGTGCCAAAAATTCGGAAGTTATAAATTTTCAATACTGATGTATAATCAACGGATATCTGCGTCCACAAATGAAATTCCAAGATACAAATACTCTTCCGTCTTCACAACACTTTCAAATGAATAAAGTTTCTTGAAAATTTCTGGGAACCTGATAAACCAAACTGAATAAAGTACAATTAAAATTTATAATATTTAAAATACTCGACGAATGATCACATTAACAAGTTTAGGAGACACATTAGTATGAATGCTCTTACTCGCCAACTGGGGCAAGAAAATTCGATTATGCATCGAACTTAATCTTTTACTTTCTCGGTTTCATCCTAAAAAAAAAAGAAATAATGTTTGCAATAAATCTTCGGACAACAGCGTAATTTTCCTCTAAACAATATAGAAATAAATTGATAGTCTGACTGCTCGCAAATCTTCAGCATTGGCGCGCAAAATTGGGACAATCTTCCTGCACGCTTTTCACTGTCTTTCAGTTTCATTTTCAAATATTCTTGTTGATTATTCAAATACTGTACTGTACTGTATATAGAGTTCAAAATTCAGAATCATTAAAAAAATTCAATGAACTTCAAGATGAAGGTGTTCCGACCAATTTCTCTAGCTTAAATTGCTCTAATCTCAAATTTGTGAAAATTCTCATTTTTTCTTGCCCCCTGCATGTATTCAATGAAATTTGTCCTCAGCAAGGGAAGACCTGGTGAATATCTCGCGATGGAAATATTTTGAAAAACAATAGCTGGCGAAACTTGATTTGTAAATTTTATAAAATAAAATAAAAACCCGTACGCAAAAAGGGCTCTCCAACAGAGTGCAGAAATGAGGTGAGAGCAATTGGATACTTTGCTCACTCAGAGCTTCGAGTCCCGAAAAATGAAACACTCCTTCCACACCGTCCAGAAAAAGAAAAAAAAAGCGGAAACCAACGCTTACAATATC